CAACTTGCCCTGGGTGCTGGACATGGAACTACAGGATTTAACATTTGTCCTGCTGGGTTTCAGTCTTGTTTTGGTCCTATTGGTTTCTACCTTTCTATTCCTCCCTTTTGGAATGGCAATGTTGTGCCACTGTATGTTGGTAGTGTTTAAAACTTTCCTTTTGATATTTATAGGTGCTCACAGCTTATGAGTTTGCTTTAAGCTTCAGAAGAGAGTTTGGACTTAGACTTTTCAGCAGGGTTGCAACTGTTAGGACTACAGCAACTTAGAGACGGACTAAATGCATTTTACATAGAGAGATGCGCAGAAGTTTTTGAGGGACCAGGGGCAGAATGCCATGATTTATATCTAGATTCCCCCCAAAGCCTCATGCTATCATAGGGCTTTGGGAGTTGACTGCATCATTGAATGCTATAGTCATTGGTTAATTAGTCCATTTTTGAGTTTATAGCTAAATGTAATGTTGGAAGAGGTGGGTCATGGGGGGATGGCAATTCTATGGTGCACCCTGTAGCTGGCTGTTTGTTATGCTCAGATGCTCTAGAAGGTTCACCATCACGGGCCTAGAAGGATGGATCTCCCTTCCTTTCCTCTCTTGACTCTCCCTGCTTCCTGTGTATCATGACATGATCAGCTTTTCTTCAACTAGCCCTTCTCTCATGCTGTTTCTTCTTTGGAGCTGGCTGACAGTGGACTGAAATGTAAGGCAAAATAAACCTTTCTCCTCTTTTAAATTGTGGGTATTAGGCAATGTGTCCCAGCAATGAGAAAGTGACTAAAACAACCTTATTTTTAAAACCCTTCATTATATATTTAAGAAAAAATATTGAAACACCTGTGCCCACTGATCAGCTTTAACTAATCACTCTATATAATCCACTGAACTTTAGACAGTCCATTTATTGTTTTATGAGATCTGCCAGCCCTGGAAAGCCAAGAGCATGAAAACATCCCTCCACTTCTAGTCGTCCAGCTTGGGGAACATAGTTCTAGCTCAGAGCACTTCCATCTCAGGACAGGTTAGCAATGAGAGAAGAGATACCTGTATGACAAGAAGGAAAATTTTTGGCACGAAGACAAACTTCGTTAAGCATTTGAGGAAGGCTCTGAGATTTCAGGTTCAGTCCAAGGCCACACCCTACTCCCAGGGGGGTTTAATGGTTTTAGTATTCAATCACTGTTTCCTTGTTTATCATCTTTTCCACCATTTCAAGTTTTTCTTTAACTCTCAATTACAATGGATCACGCCAGAATCCAATCATGACAATAAACCAAAACATCCTCCCAATGAACAAAACACTCCACTCAAAACCAAAATATTTCTTAGTCCTTCTTTCCTCACATGAGAACTGATTAATTGCTTATCATTTGCACATAGCACAGATCCCATTCAAACCAGCAGGAAGTGACTTGAGGCATTTTAATGGGTTTTGGTTTATTAATCTATCTTTAAAGTTATTATCTGTAACTCTTCCAAAGGGCAAAAAACAAAACAAAAACCCTGTTAATAGATATATCAATGCTTCACTTCCTTTTCCCCTCAGAAAACGTTTGTGTGGGAGAGGGGCAGGAAAGAAAGATTCAAGTGTCACCTCCCTGTGGCATCTTTCCAGACCTCCCACTCTTTGCTCTGCATGCCTGATGCACACAAACTGCTTCTGTCACAATACGTATTTATTTAGTCACATGCTGGTCTTCCCACTTGGGCTGCAGGCTCCTTGAGGAACAGACCTTCTCCTGGTCATTTTGGACTCTCCAGAGCTGTGTTTTGGGCCTGGTATACACAGTCTTGGCAATTCAATAAATGTTGCTTTTGTCACTAATTACCAGAGGAATACAAATCACCTCACATCTGTTAGAAAGGCTAGGATCAAAGAGATAAAAGTTTCATGTTGGTAGGGATGTGGAGAAAGAGGAAATTTTATATGGTGGGAGTATATATTAGTACAGCCACTAAGAAAAGCATTGCAAAGGTTCCTCAAAAGAGCTAGAAATAGACTACCATGTGATCCATCAAGCCCATAACTGGGTCCTTATCCAAATGAAATAAAATCAGAATGTGAAGGAGACATCTACACTTCCATGTTTATTGTAGCACTAGTCACAAAGCCAAGACATGAAATCAACCTAGGTGTATATCAACAGATAAATAGATAAAAAATGTGGTACATATACACAATGGAATACTATTCAGTATAGTCACTAAGAAAAACAGCACAGAGGATCCTCAAAAAGCTAGAAGTAGAACTACCATACAATCCAGCAGTCCCATGACTGGCATTCGCAAGATTGAAATCTTGTCATTTGTGACAGCGTGGATGAACCTGGAGAGCATTAACGAGCCTGCCACAGAAAGACAATTCCTGCGTGATCTACTTATCTACAGAATCTACCAAAGCTGATCTCACAGAAGAACAGAATAGAATGGTGGTTACCTAAGACTTTGGTGGCTGGAGGGAGGGAGATGGGGAAGTACTGATAAAAGGATATATAATTACAGTTAGACAGGAGGAAAAGAGAGTCCAGAATAGACATATATGGAGACAGAAAGTAGATGTTGCCTGGGGCCTCGTTGGGGCGGGGTGGGTAAAGAATAACTACAGTTTATGGAATTTCTCGGGTGACAAAAATGTCCTGAAATTGTGAGAACTGTAGTATACTGGATTGCATACTTTAATGGATAAATTGTATAGGTGAATTTATCTTTTAATAGAACTTTAAAAATATTGAATGAATAAATAATGAACAAAATTATTAATTATTTGGGGGGTGTGCCAGGAATCAAACTCAGGACCTTGCATTTGCCAGGTGGGTGCTGCGCCACTGAGCTGTACCCTCAGCCCCTACAATTTTTAAAACTTAAAAAAATTTTAAAGTAGATGCTTATGCCAAGTGCAGTGGTGCACACCTGTAATCCCAGCTAGTAGGGAGGCAGAGGCAGGAGGACTGTTCTGCTCTGCTAGTTCAAGGGAGTCATGCAACTTAATGAGATCCCGTCTCAAAATTAAAAAGGCTGGGGATGCAGCTCAGTGCAGAGGCCTGGGTTCAATTCCCAGTACTACAAAAACCAAAAAAGTCAATGTTATTTCAAAAGCTGTGTAAAGCTGGACATGGTGGCACACACCTGCAATCCTAGCATTCAGGAGGCTAAGACAGGAGGATTACCTCGAGTTTGAGGCCAGCCTAGGCTACATAGAGTCCAGGCCAGCCTGAGCTACATAGTAAGACCCTGTCTCAAAAGCAAAACAAAATAAAAACAAATAAAAGTTGTCTAGACACAGCCTAGATTGAATCTGACACATAGAAGATGCTCAATAAATGTTTTATGAATGAATATTGAATACATAGCTATCAGAAATACTTTCATTTTATTGTGACCTCTGGAAGTAAGAAAAGCGACAGAATAAACAATAGCCACATCTTTCTTAGGTGTAAATTGTTTAAAGGTATTGGAAGCTATTCAAACAAGTTGAAATCCAAAATTCACACTCCTTTTAAAGAAAAACATGCTTCTAGAAATACATATTTTGCTTGTGGGAGATCAGTTGGGGCTATATCTTTAGCCTCCCTGAGTTCAATGTTTTTTTCCCCCATTGGCTTTAGGTGTGTTTTATGGGAAATCTGAGCCATAGTAGACACTTTTGTGATTTGCAAGAAGATAGGTTATGACTGGAGGAAAGCTACCAATTGTTAACATCTGTAGTGGTTTAACTCTTTGTTGGGCAACTTACATATTATTTTTTCTGGTCTTTACCACTTCCCTTTGAGTAGAACACAGAGCAGGGATTATCAACATCCTCATTTTATAGATTAGGAAACTGAGAGTATTAAATCTATGCTTTAGTCCTCCTCGGAAATGGGGTAGGGAGATTGCTCGCTGTTACTAAAATTCCTCTGACACTTGTTAAAACATAATGAATTCCCCTCTCCCCAATACTGGAGACTGAACGATGGCCTCAGGCAAGCGAGGTAGGTAAGCACTTTACCGCTGCCACATCCCCAGCGCCTATTGTGAAGTCTTTTTTCAAGTCTATTGCAATAGAAGTCCTGACCTGCAGTAGGGAAAAGCGCAACTCAGAAAACAGCAGAAGCAGCCGGGGATTTAGAGCCAAGATCAAGCGGAGTGAAGATCAGTTGTCGGAAAATTAGTAAGAGACATCAAGGGCTGGGGGAGTCTTGCTAAAGGCCCGCCAAGCATTTACACATCAAAGGTGGGTGTGGGAGCTAAGAATTTTGTTCAGATATCAACTATCAAAATGTCAAGAGTGATCAGATATCAAGGGTGGGAGAATGACATAGGATTCTTGTTAAAAGTGGGTTCAGCTAGGTTAGACAGGAAGGCTTCGAAGACAAGGGGAGCGGAGGCGCCTTACTGAAGTCGGGTCAAGTAGCGTCTTTGTCACTGTCAACTCTGACCTCTTTGTCACCCATGCCCACGGAAGAAGAGAGAGGCGGCGGGTAGCGGAGGCTCTGGGATCATGGTTAGGGAGCCTCGCTGGCCTTCGAAAGTAGCACTGCCCAGCAGCCGCACAGAGGGGGGTCGAGTTCAGAACCCCCGAGCTCAGAACCCCCAAAGAACGCGCGTCTCTGCGAAGTCTCACACCGCCCGCCCCGCCCCGCCCGCTGTCCAACCCCAGGGCGGGGCCCGCAGGTCGGCAGCACGGGCGGGCGCGCCGATTGGCTGCCCGCACTGGCTCGGGGCTCCCCGGCCCCGCCCTGCACGCCCCCTCAGCCGGAGAAGCCGCGCACTGGCCGCCCCGCGCAGCCGGGCGGGAGGGGCCGGAGCCTGTGTTCCTCCCCTGTACCGGTCCTCGTCCTTAAAACACGAGTCCCGACGCCCCGCCTGTTGGAGAGGGCGCCGGGATCCCGAGGGCGAGCTGCCGGGGCAGGCCAGGGCCGACCGAGGAGGGCCTGCTGCCGCGGCTGGCACGCGAGTGCCTGGGCCCCGGCCGAGAGTTGCGGCAGCTGCGAGGGGAGGGGTCCCGGGCGCCATTGCTGGCGGTCCGAGCGCCTCCGGGCCCCAGTCCGCCTTCGGGTCGGGAGGAGCCGTCGCTCGGGGCCGTCGCCTGCCTCGGAGCCAGGCTCGAGAACCGG